GGGCGTTGTGAAAACCCGGAATGCCGGAATATGGCGGAATATCACGGAATATGGCGGAATATCACGGAATATGGCGGAATATCACGGAATATGCCGGAATATTGCGACATTTTCCCGGAATATACCGGAACATCACGATATTTTCCAATGGTAGCCATGGGCATGTACTAAAAGGCGAAACGTCGAAACGAAACGACCGAAACGAAACGGCCGAAAATGTAAATTACAGGAAAATTGAAAAATGCGGATACGGACGGACGGACGGGTGGGGGACAGGCGGATGGACGGGGGAGACAGGCGGATGGACGGGGGAAGAGGCGGATGGACGGGGGGGGGACGGCTTCATTTGAAACGAAACTCAATTTTAAAATCAAATCCGCGTTTTGTTGAAAGGGATATATTAGGATATATTATAAAAGACTATTATTAATCGTAATAAATTGTCCGCGAAAAGTTGATAAAATACATGTGGAAATGCGGGGTTTTTCCATAAAACGCGGATATGCTGCAACTTTCATGCTTAATTTTCTCAGTTATCTGGGTATGTAGTAATCTAATTTTATGCAATGTAATGTGTTATATTTTCAAGGGCTTTTCAATGCAGTTATCGGTTTAAATATACCTAAAATTCCCGTTAAGAGATATGACAATTGCCGTACGGCCTACTTTTACGCAAACGAAAATTAGCTACAATTGCCACTTTCATGCTTAATTTTCTGTTATCCGGGCATGTAGTAATGTAATTTTATGCCAATGTTATGTGCTGATGAAATTTGCAGTGGTAATTTGCGTTTGCGTAAAAGTAGTCCGTACGGCAATTGTCATATCTCATCGGGAATTTGAGTTATATTTAAACCGATAACTGCATTGAAAAGTCCTTGAAAAAACAGCACATTACATTGCATAAAATTAGATTACTACATACCCAGATTACTGAGAAAATTAAGCATGAAAGTTGCAGCATATCCGCGTTTTATCCGATCAAGCGTTACGAAGGTTTGAAAAACCCCGCATTTCCACATGTATTTTATCAACTTTTCGCGGACAATTTATTACGATTAATAATAGTCTTTTATAATATATCCTAATATATCCCTTTCAACAAAACGCAGATTTGATTTTAAAATTGAGTTTCGTGTCAAATGAAGCCGTCCCCCCCGTCCATCCGCCTGTCCCCCCGTCCATCCGCCTCTTCCCCCGTCCATCCGCCTGTCTCCCCCGTCCATCCGCCTGTCCCCCCCGTCCGTCCGTCCGTATCCGCATTTTTCAATTTTCCTGTAATTTACATTTTCGGCCGTTTCGTTTCGGTCGTTTCGTTTCGACGTTTCGCCTTTTAGTACATGCCCATGGCTACCATTGGAAAATATCGTGATGTTCCGGTATATTCCGGAAAAATGTCGCAATATTCCGCCATATTCCGTGATATTCCGGCATATTCCGTGATATTCCGCCATATTCCGTGATATTCCGGCATTCCGGGTTTTCACAACGCCCATTTATAAATCAACAGTTCGCATGCGCCGTATATGGCTTGTTATTTATTCCTACAGTACTACTATAGTAGTACTGTAGGAATAAATAACAAGCCATATACGGCGCATGCGAACTGTTGATTGAGGACATATTTGTTTGAAGGAATATCAGCACTAAATCCGCATTCATTGAACTGAGTAGCAGATGAATTCTTCATGGTTTCCAGTTGCAATCTTGACAAGGCGAATAAACGTTGGAATATCAACAATAGAGACGGTCAATAAATTTTATATCATGAAAATCAAAATTTAGTTCTTTTCATCAGCTCGTAGCTGCTCTTCTTGTCTAACAACCCTTTCAGCCGCTATACCTTTGAAAAAAGAAAGTGCAGCTGCTAGAAAAAATCTATATACCGGTTAATAATAATTAGCGAATATGCAAATCTTGGGCCGGTTGTATAAAAAAGTAATTAAAATTAACTACTTTGTGCCAAAGTTAGTCAATCAGAATCGCGAATTTGAGAGTTAACAGCTATATATAGAACGGTTGTGTAGAAATAGTGGCAATGTTAATTTTTTCCCCTTGCATTAGAAATTAAAATGCTTGGAGCATTTGGTGCATCTTTTCACTGTTTATTTGTAATTTCATTTTTGTGTAAAGGGGTGTTTTTGTCTGGAAACGGAATGTATTTCTTAGGTGTTTATATGAAAAAATTTAATCCCGCTTGTTGGTACAGTTTCGTTGTTTTGAGAGTTGCTAATAATAGCTCTCGGCAGCATTTTTGTATCTGCGAAGCAGATATATATGCTATCGCAAACGTACCGTACCGTACCATACCGTACCGTATGTTAGCACGTAGCCATTCAGCGACGGGCTTCTATAATTTTAACCAATTTAAGCCAATCAGCGATTTGTTTACATCAATTGTTTACATCTTGCCCGTATCTAACCTGCGAACGGGCATACTTTAGCCTCGTCAGGCCTCGTGTATAAATCGTGTTTATATTCTTTCAAAAATATCTTGATATTTTTATCAATTTATCTTGAATCTGCATTCTACTTGCGATATTATTCCGAGTTATTTATCAACATGGAATCTTATCCTCATCTGGTAAGTAGCCAAATACCACATATTATATATTTAAATACCAAATTTGTGCAAACATATGTCCCACATATTTTATATTAATACATGAAAAATATTTACTATACTATCTATAGTTAATATTGCCGTATCTTCGGCGTAGAGTTTACATGGAATGCACTCTGGAATTTTTTATTAATATAATACACTGTATAAAATATTGGATATTTTCGAGGATATTTTAAGCCATTTGTCAACATAGTTGGCAAAAAGATTTATACAGTATTAAAAAGAATTCTTCTGTGACTTCTGTAATATTTTAAACAGTGAAAACATAGCAGGCAATATTGCCAGTTAACAATATCAAAGGAACCTATTGGACAGTTCTCAGGAGATATTGAATTAAATCCTGGTCCTGTATTTCTGTATATTGACTCCATAACTCTGTTCAAAACAACAGTCCAACTACTGTATAAAGCTGTCATCAAATGTAGTGTTAGAGCAAAGGTTGAAGATGTTATCAGTTAAAATACTTATACATTTTGGTTTTACACATTAGAGTTAATTAAACAAAATTTTTACAAACATTTTCAATAAAAAATCCTCACCCTCCCGAGCCTCATTACATTGTCATTTTGCTTTCTAACATAAATATTTTTCTTTAGAGATTAATACAAGAATGAAGAATAAATGTACTGGATATTGGCTGGATAATTTTGTCAGAACAACAAACTTGCAAGACAATCTTACCTAAATTCATTAGTATGGAAAATAATTTAACAGCTACAATGAGTAATCATATATTATATGGTGGATTTGATCAATGGCACACAATGTACAAAACTAAACTTGTGATACCTTCTACTCAAACCGATAATCTCCCACAACACGATTGTTTTGTGTGAATGTGCTGTACGTGTTAAACCGAACAGTGTGGTATATCATTAACTGTGCACAGAACTGGAATTTAATTATATACTTCACTCATGACCTTCAAAACATTCTCAATTATTCAGTGGTCTTCGACATGTTCACCAAATATTTTGTGTATGTTACTCAACAGTTAACATTGGCAAGTGTAAACAACAAGTGACATAACTTTTGCTTCATATGATTGCAATAAAGTTTTGAAAATTTGATGAGTATGAATTGAATTGAATTGACAGGTGACAGTTTACTAAATAGCTGGCTGTATACTAGACACTTTGAATATTGTTTGCATGAAATTTTTATTTCCTGACTGCATAATTATTTGTTACAATCATGATCACATTATAAATTAAGTTAGTTAAATTTTCTCGGTGCGGGGGTGCGTAGCACTTGCTCTGCTGCACTCCCCCTGCTGCACTCCCCGCTGTGTACAGCCCTGTTTTAAATCTTATCTGCCATTATAATAAGTGATGAAATATTTCAATTGTCCCATGTCATCTTCATTATTCAGTTTCTTTCAAGAAAATACAAAATGTGATCAAGTTTTTTCGCAGATACATGTACGCGTCGCGTACCTATTTTTAAACTTTCACCCCGGTAATCGAGATCCCACCTCTCTCAAGCGAAATCTCTCCCGTATAAACGCATTGTAATTATTGCTTTAAAAGCAACTACGGTACGCAGTGAGATCTCCCTGTATTTAATTTTGACCTTGAATTAAGTTGATATTTGGAACAAATGAGTGAATAAATATATTTTCACATCTGATTAATGCACGCATGTGACTATTAATTTGATTGGGCATAATTTGTTTTATTTTTTTATTTTTCTGAGCTGCAGTTGGCAGAAAACAATATGACAGTGAGACAGTCCGAAAGGAACTCCCTACCACAAACAGTACAGTCAAGTTGTTAATAAACTAGATTTAAAAGGCTTCTCGATATTGCATTTAAACATTGCAACTTTAATCAAATATATTGATCAACTAAAAATTAAATTATCCTATTAGACAAGCCTTGACGTATTAACAAGACTATAGTATTAACGAATTCAAACTAGATTAAGTGAAAACATAAATGGCCTTACGCCCCTTGACCAATCTCCGGCTAGTAAAGTTTTATGATATATTTTTATTACATTTTGGGGTATTTATGACAAAATAAGCTTCGATACCGGTCTTCAAAATTAACATTCTGTAGACGAGCGAAAAAATGAAAATGGAAACCGGCGGCCATTTTCGGAATAAATCATTTCTTACGAGTTTAAATGGGAAAAAAATCATTCCGCTTGCCAGGACATTTTTGTTGTTTTGAGAGTTGCTAAAAATAGCTTTCGAACGGCATATTTAAACTTTCATCTCGGTAATCGAGATCTCACCTCTTTTAAAGCGAGAACTCGGCAACCGGTCGAACCCGTTAGTCCATATAAAACGCACAGTGCAGAGTTTTTATTTTTCTGAGCAGTTGGCAGAAAACAATATGACAGTCCGAAAGGAACTCCCTACCACAGACACTACAGTCAAGTTGTGAATAAACTGGATTTAAAAGACTTCTCGATATTGCATTTAATTGAATAATGCAACTTTAATAAAATATATTGATCAACTATAAGAATTATAGTTAATTCTTATAGTTGATCAATATATTTTATTAAAGTTGCATTATTTAATTAAATGCAATATCAAGAAGTCTTTTATTAGACAAGCCTTGCTATGTTCTAAGTATTAACGAATTCAAGCTAGACTAAGTGAAAACATAAATGATGGATTTTACCCGAGACAAACCTGCAGCTAGTAACGTTTAATGATTTATTTCTATTATTTAGGATATTTATGAGAAAATAAGCTTCCATGCCGGTTTTCAAAATCTGGGGAACAATCTGGAGAGCAAAAAATTAAAAAATGAGAACAAAATTTAAAAATGAGAACAGGTGGCCATTTTGAATAAATCATGTTTTTAGTAAATGGTATAGCATTAGGAGCCTATTCAAAAACCCGAAGTAAATAGCCAATTTCGCATAGAAACGTGTTTCATTTTTAAAAACTGTAAAATATGACTTGTGTTGCAAAACGTGTGATGCATCAAATGCGATCGATAACTTAGGTTAAGAAGCATGAGAAAACGGTCAAACTTACAGCTTTTAACTGGAAAGGTCTTGATAGGTTTGGAAATGTGTATGACACTGTGAATTGGCATCAGGGGCCCAGTGGTAAACATGTGCATGCTAATTATCGTTTTGACATATATCTAGCTCAGATAAATCGAATAGAGCAAAGGTCAGGCAACAAAAACGTGAAAGAGACTCAGCTTCTCCTGAATTCCCAGATGATCACGATTTGGCAGCACCCGCACCAAAATGTCTCTGATCGAGCGTGAGTGTCGTACCCGACAAAAATCTCTGTGTGTTCTGCATGACACCAAACATCCTGAGCGCGCGGGAAAATAGCTTCTTATTTCGTACACACCGGCATAGAATGTCTTTAAAAGTCACATCGTAGTTCTCCAGGATGACACCATGAGAGACAGGATCAACAGCCTTATCGCTTGACTTCCTCTCACATGATAATGAATTACATCGTACTGCATGTATGTTCAGTCGCTCTCACTTTAGTATCCTGATCCTCAGTCTGGTAAACATGTTAAAATTACTAAAACACTTTCGTCACGCCTTAAAAATATCGCAATGGGCATCAATACACAGGAACGTTACGTGACCTACAAGCGAGGAGAGCTGACAGTCTGTGTTAGGGTAGAGCCTAAAGTTCGGAGTACACATCCTCAAAGAAAGCGGTGTGTTATTCACACATTAGTTCGTGCAAATGCTAGTGAACAGCCACCTACTGTTGACCAAATGCTGGTTTTGCTGGCTTCCAGGAATTGAACTCAACTGCCGAAGAAAAGAGCAAATCTTACTATTTCATGACATACACAGATCCTCCGAAAAAGATGGTTCTCAACGATGTTTTGTTAAAGTCTAATAAAGTAATTGAAAGAAAAAACATGCCATTTGCTGTAGTCTTTGGAGATCAACTGAAGTACACACTATTCGTTGAGAAATCATTCCATGCCTTGATCCATTCCATACTCAAGGTTCTATGATCTATGCCGCATATATA